ATTACAGGTACGCAGCTGGAAGTGCTAGAAGGGGTTGTAGTTTCAGTCTCTGAAGTACCTTCACGGCACTAACCACACGAGTCAAAACCGTCTGTGCTCCTCGCTCGCTACCATTTGCACACAGGGTATCGTTTGGCTTTGCAATAAAACATATTCCGCACATTTTAAAGAGCTACGTTTTCATAATTCAGGGAAAAATTAATAATCCAACACTCCAATAATTTCAAAAAATTCTTACTCCACCAGCTAGGCTTCCATTAGGCTTTTATTTCTGAAAATTGGCCCTGTTAGTAATGAAGTGCATTCAATTTATAACACAGTTGTGTGTCCCTTGCGAAGAGGACAAATGACCACATAAGAAAAAAAACACAGGAACTCGGAAGGAATTGCCTTCAAACAATAAAAATGCATGAGATGCACAGATGCACCCCACAACCCAGCTGGCCATCAGGGCTCCAGCTTCATCCCACCACTTTTCCAGAGGGGATGGGGACAAGCTGAACCCTCAGAAGGTGCAGTGTAGGAGAGAGGTAGATAGAAGAAGTCCATAGGAGAGGACATGGACACTGTTGGAACAGATCCAGGGGAGGGCCACAAAAACAGAGCTGGAGTGCCTCCCCTATGAGGACAGGCTGAGGAAATTAGGGTTATTCAGCCTGGAGAGCAGAAGGCTCTGGGGAGACCTTAGAGCAACCTTCCAGTACCTGAAGGGGGCTACAGGAGAGATGGGGAGGGACTCTATCAGTGATGGGAGCCATAGGAAAGGGGGTAATGGTTTTAAACTGAAATAGGGCAGATTTAGATTAGATATTAGGAAGCAATTCTTTGTTGTGAGGGTGGTGAGACACTGGAACAGGTTGCCCAGAGAAGTTGTGGCTGCCCCATCCCTGGAAGGGTTCAAAGCCAGGTTAGATGGGGCTTTGAGCAACCTGGTCTGGTGGGAGGTGTCTCTGCTCAAGGGGTTGGAACTGGATGATCTTTAAGTTCCCTTCCAACCCAAACCATTCTATGATTCTATGACAGTCCTTGGAGGCACTTCTAGACCTTGACAGCCAAGAACACCGTTGTCACCCTGATAATTCTGCAACCTGCACGTTGTCTTGCATTTAACAGCCGAGATGCAGCCCAAGTCTTCTTTTCCACTTCACAACCACACTTTACCCAAACCATTCTATGATTCTATGACAGTCCTTGGAGGCACTTCTAGACCTTGACAGCCAAGAACACAGTTGTCACCCTGATAATTCTGCAACCTGCACGTTGTCTTGCATTTAACAGCCGAGATGCAGCCCAAGTCTTCTTTTCCACTTCACAACCACACTTTGTTATCAAAGCCCTACACGTGGAAATAACTAACATATATGGAGCCACTTAACTGCACACTTGAAGCTTGAAACGAGTTACAGATGGACAGGTTGTGCTTACCTACACACCATATGCCTGATGCGAGTAAACGAGCAACTGGAAGTTGGTCTCCTGGGAGAAGCTGGTCACTTGTGGGCTCCAGCTAATCTCCAGTCTCCCCAGTGAACCTCCATCTGCCCTTGGACGTGCTTGGTGCTCTCACAGAAAGCAGTATCTCAGTGCATGGTGCTCCCCTACGCTCTACATCATGTGAAATTGAGCATGAAAGTATTTTAGGAAAAAAAATACCTAAATAACCTGGAGCTGCATTTTCAAAAGGAGAAGCTGAAAGTCTCATGGGCTTATAACAAGACCCGGGTACCTAAACGTTTAAATCATTTCTGAAAATGGCAGGTGAGCAGAGTCTTAACAGCTTTTGAAAAATTCACCCTGTATTTTATAACGGATTAATCATAGTACTGGCTTCATAAGATACACGATTTTTACACTTTATGGTAAAAGATATATGATGTATAATACATGTGTGAACCAACATTTCTTCCTCCCCCCTTAACATCAAGTTCACTCACTCGAGGATTGCATCGGAGGTGAGAGAGATGCTGTTCTTCCCACAGGAGGCTGTTTCTCCCCAGCTCTGACCTGTCCTCTCCCTCCCACTGATACATACCCAAAAAAGACACTATTTTAATAAAGTTTCCATGACTTTCATCCCTCTCCAGCTCACAAGGCTACTGCGGGTCCCACTTGGCTGTGCATGAAGCAGCCTCAGAAGCATCACAGGTTTTGAGTTACTGGCAAACCCCCACGTTGAGAAAGCATCTTGGTGGCTCTAAGTGATTTGGGGAAGAGAGGCAGGGTCTGGAGTTTGTTCTTTACTTCTGTATCTTAATTAAATTTGCGGCATGGCAGAAATTAAGAATTAAAGAATTAATCATTGTCATAAGACAAAGAATTAAAAGATTAATCATAAATTAATTCACAACTTAAACATACATAGTCCTTGGCATTTGAATTCAGGTGAATAACCAAAAGCCTGTTATTTCCTGTAATAAGTTATGACTCATGTCTTCGACCCCTTTCCTTAATCTCTTTTTTCTTAGTTGGCTTTTCTCTCACTCACTGCCACTGATAACAACCAAATTAGGCAGGTCCTTCCTACCTTACATTGAGAATGACATACTACTAACTGATTGCACCCCACAAGATTTTAAAACACAGGAAAAAAGTTGCTCTTACACAATTTACTTACTCCCTAAAGATTCCTTTATTATTATTAAAGAGATTGAGTGAAGAGTAATAGGAAAAAGCCAACGCCTTTATGGTAAAAAGCAGCTGAAAAACAGCTTCTTAACAATATACTTTCTAGAATTTAAAAATAAAAGTTCCCTGAAAAACCTAGATGCTACAAATAAAAATAACTCCTGTAAGGAAATGGCAAGATGAGGGAGGAAAAGAGTATCACAAGCATCAAACAAGCCAATAAAAACTTCATTAGAATAAACGGACTGTAAAAGTTTGAGCAATCTCCCTGATATGGAGACCTCCAGAAAATGCTTTTAAGATGTACAATTACAGCACAGTTTCGTCTCAGAGAGTCATATCAACAAATCAGTTAGGACACCAGAAGAAATATGTGTCAATATAAGCAAGACAATGTGAGAAATACTTGAATTCTCTGCTGCCTCCTAAGAGCTTACACTGCAGCCCTTCCCTCATTGCAGCCCGTAATATTGTCTTTTCATTACTTGAGCACATATTTTAATTTAACACATCGGAGCTTAAGACCTTTAAGCTTATCACTCTTCTGTCAGATTTAGTACAAGTTCTCAAGTTACTGGAAAAGGAAGGGGGAAGAGGAGGGAATGGCACTGACATACCCTGTGTCACACCAGCTTGTTGCCTTGAACGGTCCAGGCTTAGAGCAGTTTTATTGCAGAGAAGCACGAAGCTTTCCCTTCCCAAAGTCAATCCCAGCTGATTTACATGTTAGAGACATTGGGAACTGGGGGTCCCTTCTTTAAAATCATGGTAAGATTTTCATTTTGTTTACAGTGCACAAATAAGCACCATTTACATTTGAAGATACAACAAATTCATTAATTCTTCTTGAGAGGGAAACTAGTTTTCCCCACCAAAGTATAAAGTAAGTTTCACTTCTCTGTTGACTACTAATAGTTTGAACAGTGGAATTCCACACATTTTCACTGTTTGGGGGAAGAGGGTGGGTGGTAAACAGGGAACACCTCTCTGAACAGCCAAATATTTTTGGTTGTATCTTACAATTTCACTATAGACACCCCCCCCAAATCTCTCGTAGAGTCAAATGAATCCAGGCTACTTGAATTACAAGCGCAGCGCAATTGTTAACAGAAATACCTCATTCCTGATCTTAACATTTCCCACCTCTGGTGAAACCATGGGAATCCAGGTTTTGATTAAAAAGGAGAAAAAGAGAAGTCAAGGCTACTTGAATTACAAGCGCAGCGCAATTGTTAACAGAAATACCTCATTCCTGATCTTAACATTTCCCACCTCTGGTGAAACCATGGGAATCCAGGTTTTGATTAAAAAGGAGAAACAGAAGTGGGCAAGCATGGTGCTAATCTTGCCTCCAAGGAAAAATTCCTTTGATTCCCAAAACCTGTAACCTCATCAGATGTATCACACGCTTAGGAAGCATGGTGTGAACTCTACCCTTGTTTTAGGGGTAACTACAGTAAAAATTGTTAGTAGATATCTACTAACCACCAAAAACTCTGTACCCATCCAGCTGGGCACAAATTTTGGTTGTATCTTACAATTTCACTATAGACACCCCCCCCAAATCTCTCGTAGAGTCAAATGAATCCAGGCTACTTGAATTACAAGCGCAGCGCAATTGTTAACAGAAATACCTCATTCCTGATCTTAACATTTCCCACCTCTGGTGAAACCATGGGAATCCAGGTTTTGATTAAAAAGGAGAAACAGAAGTGGGCAAGCATGGTGCTAATCTTGCCTCCAAGGAAAAATTCCTTTGATTCCCAAAACCTGTAACCTCATCAGATGTATCACACGCTTAGGAAGCATGGTGTGAACTCTACCCTTGTTTTAGGGGTAACTACAGTAAAAATTGTTAGTAGATATCTACTGAACACCAAGAACTCTGTACCCATCTAGCTGGGCACAATAGGCAAGTCTCCTTTTCTTTACGGGGCCAGTTAGTGCCACCACACAACCAAGCAGAAGGGCAGTCTCCAGATAGCACACACTGAAGTCTTTACTGTAGTCCCCACCGTCTCATCAAAGAAGCATCACATGGAGAGACAAAAAAAGTTGTTCAACTTGATCCATTACTGATCTTCTGAAAGGTAGCACCTTTAGAAACTAGTGTATCATCTCACAAAACATAGGATGAAGATGAACTAGTGAATTTGCTCTGGAATTGATGATAACCTGCATGGACAGTGACCCACAAGGAGACACAACACACTGCAAGAGCAGGGACCTCTGCAGCCTGACTCCACATTGAGTTATTGGCCATGAGCCACTTAACTTCTGTGTCTTGTGTTTTCTGCCTGTCAAATATTGGAATAAATACACAGCTTCCCTTTTTCACCTCAGAAACACATCATCTTTATTAGAAGTATCACTACCTGCATCCAAAACTGGGAGCAGTAAAATACCAGGTGTAAAGCTGTGATGCTTTAGATGTCTTCAACAAAGCCTTCTGGGCATCTTGTCTATGGATCTCAGTGGTGAGCAGTACTTTTCCCCCATCCATTCTATCTGCTTCAGTCCAACAAGAGAGATGATAAAGTGCTGTTTTCCCAATTGTAATAGCATTCTTAAATCTGAACAGAGTTGAAGGAAGAAAAGAAAAAAAGTACATGAGCTCATCTGGTCTAACTTCGCAACCATTTTAGGCTAAAAAACTTCAAAATACTACCCAATACTACATCACCCAAATGTTTATCCCAAATGCTTTCCTTAGTCTAGTAATCACAGATTCACAGAATGATATGGCGTTTGAAAGGACCTCTGAGGATCATCTACTCCAATCCCCCTGTCAAAGCAGGGTCACCCGGAACAGGTTGGACAGGAACCCATCCAGACAGGTTTTGAACGTCTCCAAAGAAGGAGACTCCACCACCTCTCTGGGCAGCCTCTTCCAGGGTTCTGCCACCCTCACAGGAAAGAAGTTCCTCCTCATGTTTAGATGGAACTTTCTATGTTCAAGTTTGTGCCCATTCCCTCTTGTCCTGTCCCTGGGCACCACTGAAAGAAGACTGGCCCCATCCTCCTGCCACCCACGCTTTAAGTATTTATAAGCATTGATAAGATCCCCCCTTCAGTCTTCTCCAGACCAAAAAGACCCAAGTCCTTCAGCCTTTCCTCATAAGAGATGTTCTAGTCCCCTAATTGTGTTGAAGGAGACACAACACACTGCAAGAGCAGGGAGCTCTGCAGCCTGACTCTACATTGAGTTCTTGGCCATGAGCCACTTAACTCCTGTGTCTTGTGTCTTCTGCCTGTCAAATAGTGGAATAAATACACAGCTTCCCTTTTTCCCCTCAGAAACACATCATCTTTATTAGAAGTATCACTACCTGCATCCAAAACTGGGAGCAGTAAAATACCAGGTGTAAAGCTGTGATGCTTTAGATGTCTTCAACAAAGCCTTCTGGGCATCTTGTCTATGGATCTCAGTGGTGAGCAGTACTTTTCCCCCATCCATTCTATCTGCTTCAGTCCAACAAGAGAGATGATAAAGTGCTGTTTTCCCAATTGTAATAGCATTCTTAAATCTGAACAGAGTTGAAGGAAGAAAAGAAAAAAAGTACATGAGCTCATCTGGTCTAACTTCGCAACCATTTTAGGCTAAAAAACTTCAAAATACTACCCAATACTACATCACCCAAATGTTTATCCCAAATGCTTTCCTTAGTCTAGTAATCACAGATTCACAGAATGATATGGCATTTGAAAGGACCTCTGAGGATCATCTACTCCAATCCCCCTGTCAAAGCAGGGTCACCCGGAACAGGTTGGACAGGAACCCATCCAGACAGGTTTTGAACGTCTCCAGAGAAGGAGACTCCACCACCTCTCTGGGCAGCCTCTTCCAGGGTTCTGCCACCCTCACAGGAAAGAAGTTCCTCCTCATGTTTAGATGGAACTTTCCGTTACCTCTTGTCCTGTCACTGGGCACCACTGAAAAAAGACTTGGCCCCATCCTCCTACACCCACCCTTTAAGCATTTATAGATGTTGATCAGATCCCCCCTCAGTCTTCTCCAGACTAAAAAGACCCAAGTCCTTCAGCCTTTCCTCATAAGAGATGTTCTAGTCCCCTAATCGCCTTGATAGCCCTTTGCTGTACCCTCTCCAGCAGTTCCCTGTCCTTCTTGAACCAGGGAGCCCAGAACTGGACTGGAAATGTCTGTGACAAGAAGACTACACTTGAGCTGAAGGCAAAAGACAAGAGAGTCCACAATCACCTATGCCCATTGACCATCAAGAGTAGGTAGGTTTGTTTACTTCACACTTGGTCAAATCCTATAGTAGAGGAGCCAGGTGGGCCTGGCCTCCTCTCCCTCAAGATACCATCAACCTGACCTGCCCTTAAAGGTCCTCTCTACAGCAGATAGTCACCATTATCATCCTAAGCATGTCAGGAAAACACCCCATCCCATTAGAATTCAAGACAATACATTAATATCAGTCTTTCAGGGCTATGTAAATTAATGTTAAGATTTTACATGTTTGTCTACTTCATGGTCTCTTTCTTTTACATGCACAAACTGCACTAGCCCTTTTGCTGTAGAGGAGCCAGGTGGGCCTGGCCTCCTCTTCCCCAAGACACCATCAACCTGACCTGCCGTTAAAGGTCCTGTCTACAGCAGTCGTCCTTCTTGAACCAGGGAGCCCAGAATTGGACTGGAAATGTCTGTGACAAAAAGGCTACACTTAAGCTGAATGCAAAAGACAGGAGAGTCCACAATCACCAATGCCCATTGACCATGAAGAGTAGGTAGGCTCATTTACTTCACAGTTTCCTCATAAGAGATGTTCTAGTCCCCTAATTGTGTTGATAGCCCTTTGCTGTACCCTCTCCAGCAGTTCCCTGTCCTTCTTGAACCAGGGAGCCCAGAACTGGACTGGAAATGTCTGTGACAAGAAGACTACACTTGAGCTGAAGGCAAAAGACAAGAGAGTCCACAATCACCTATGCCCATTGACCATCAAGAGTAGGTAGGTTTGTTTACTTCACACTTGGTCAAATCCTATAGTAGAGGAGCCAGGTGGGCCTGGCCTCCTCTCCCTCAAGATACCATCAACCTGACCTGCCCTTAAAGGTCCTCTCTACAGCAGATAGTCACCATTATCATCCTAAGCATGTCAGGAAAACACCCCATCCCACCACAATTCAAGACAATATATTAATGTCAGTCTTGCAGGGCTATGTAAATTAATATTAGGATTTTACATGTTTGTCTACTTTATAGTCTTTTTCTTTTATATGTTCAAACTGCACTAGCCCTTTTGCCATTGTGTTGATAGCCCTTTGCTGTACCCTCTCCAGCAGTTCCCTGTCCTTCTTGAACCAGGGAGCCCAGAACTGGACTGGAAATGTCTGTGACAAGAAGACTACACTTGAGCTGAAGGCAAAAGACAAGAGAGTCCACAATCACCTATGCCCATTGACCATCAAGAGTAGGTAGGTTTGTTTACTTCACACTTGGTCAAATCCTATAGTAGAGGAGCCAGGTGGGCCTGGCCTCCTCTCCCTCAAGATACCATCAACCTGACCTGCCCTTAAAGGTCCTCTCTACAGCAGATAGTCACCATTATCATCCTAAGCATGTCAGGAAAACACCCCATCCCATTAGAATTCAAGACAATACATTAATATCAGTCTTTCAGGGCTATGTAAATTAATGTTAAGATTTTACATGTTTGTCTACTTCATGGTCTCTTTCTTTTACATGCACAAACTGCACTAGCCCTTTTGCTACAGCATTATAATCACCACAGATAATCACAGCTCCAAGTCCTTCCCCAGGTCACAGAATGAGGGATGGATGAGGTTGGAAGGGACCTCCAGAGATTGACTAGTCCAAACCCTCTGCTCAAATCAGGGTCAACCACAGCAGGTTCCCCAAGATCCCATCAAGTTCTGAGTATCTCCACGGATGGAGACCCCACACACTCTCTGGCACTTGTTCCATTATTTGACCACTCTCAGTGAAAACCAACTTCTTGTGTTTAAACAGAATTTCCTGCATTTCAGTTGGTGCCCCTGAATCTTCTCATCTGGAGCATAAACTGTCCCAGCTCTCCCTGTCTCTCCTCGTATCATGCCCATATTCCCAAACTGGGGTTTGCCAACCTACCTTTGCTGTACCAACTACAGTTTTACTCTATTTTGATGGCTGAACGTTATGACTGCCTGGGGATCTCTCTCTCTCTCTCCACTATTCTTTGCACCATCTGAAAAATATAGCAGATTTAAATCACCAAAACTGCTGATTACGTGTAAACTGGGCCAGGAGCACATGGGAGACTCACTAAACATAGGTCTTTCTCATCCTGTTAGAAGTTACACTTTAAGCAACAGGACATTTTTAATCTTTTCTGTGTCTCAGCTACACATAATCCAGGCTTTTATATCAAAATTTTGTGTTGTAATGATTTAATGCCTTAAAAGAAATTAGTTTTATATAGCAATATAGGCCAGACACACAATCCTATTAAAAAAATACATCAGCTTTGTCCCACAAAGCCTCCTATCACAAAACCATAGTGACCAGCATTAATTATATAATTTTTTTTTAGCTTTTAAGCCTTCACTTGGAAGTCCAAGTTAACCTTTATTTATTTTGTCCTGGGCTAAACCCACCACAGCATCCTTTTTGTCCTTTTAAATATAGAGACCTTTTGGAAGTCTTCCAGTACTTTGAAATAAACACATTTACAAGATATGCAACAATTCACATGAGTGGTTCTAGAGGCTCCTAAGAGAGTTTTCTAAAGTCCCTATGATGTGATGGCCAGATCTGTTTATATATTTTTTTTTATTTAATAGTTAATTTCAGATATCACTCCTTTGCCTTTTTTAGCAGTGTGTGAGCTTTCTACTCCAAACAAAAAAAATTATATGGGAAAGGAGAAAACACTATAATGAAGTGTACAAAAAGCAAAATTTCATGAAAAAGCCAAAAAAAAGATTAAAACAGTACTAGTTTATGCTTAATGATGTATATATGGAAGAGCTGACTGTTTTTATGGGACACTGAAAATGACCATTTCACCCCGTAGCTGGTTGCCTTGGAGTCGGAGGATAAGCTGCATTAGATACAAAGATCAGAAGATGGTGATGTTTATGCACCTAAAAGTTTATTTCTGTCCACTTCTTGACTGCAAGTGAGATGACACATTTTTCTACTTATTTCTCAAAATTGAAGGTTTAATGCTTTTCCACTTCAGTCTTCACAGAAGGACGTAAGATCATCAAGAGCAATGATTTTGTACGAGCTTCCAATCCAAGCTTTCGAAGAGATGGGGTAGGAAGAGGATAAAAGGATATTTTTTGAAACAAATTCAAACAGGTAAAGTCTGATGTCTTTTAACATTGAATGCTAAGGGAACTAGTTGAAATATCTCCTGAATCAGCTCATGGAAGTCAGAAAAGCTCCCCGAGACATCAGGTGCTAACACAAACAAAACTTAGCCCAAAAGAGAAGAAAAAGGAGAAACAAGAATTACAGACAAATAATCCTTACTTCCATACCAACAGGGTACCAAAAAAAGAGATTAAATTATCTATTTGTACACACCTAGATGACTG